GTAGTACTGTTTCCCATTGCAAGTGTTAGGTCTAGCACGTTAGATGAGGTCGGACCTACGAAGGTGTGCTCCTCCCCAACGTTTGCTATATATAGATTAGTTGCTAGTATAAAGTCTAAGAGTGACTCACCTCTGTCATTGATGTCGGTGCTTCCCCACACATTATGGTGGGCGTTGGCGTCCGTTCCGATGACGAGTTGATAGTTTTTGGTGCCGGCTTCTGTCACCAGGCTCCTGAGTTCGTCGGGTGGTGCGGGTCTGTCGTGAGCCATGTAGCAGGAAGCCACAAGAAGGCGCTTTTCCTCACTTTCCAGCATCACAACCGTCAGGTCATCCGTGCTGTAATGAGACATAAGGTAAGCATGGATTCCCTTTCGTACGAGTACGACGGTTCTGCTCCTGCTTACCGATGTTGAGTAGAACAGGTTATGAATTGAGGACTTTAGTCCGGCCACTGAATTGCCTGTCGCAATCCAGGGCTCCTGGACTAGAGCTATGTCGGCGAGCCCTTGCTCCATGGCGATGAGGAGCTCCGCCGACGCTACCTTGCTTTTATGCAAGTTGAGCTGCAGCACACTCAGCATGGGTGGCTGGCTCGCTTGCACCTGACGGGTTGACTACCAGCGTCAGGTCACCGTCTTCCTCTTCTTCATCCTCAAGCGCAAGACCCTGGGCGGCCTCCACGATGGACTCGAGACCTAGGTCCTTTTCCACCTCGCCTGCCTGCAGGGTATGCGCGTCCTTGTCCTCAGGGTGGCGCTTTTTGAGGCGCAGGTAGACGCTACCCATGCCCCACGCCATCTTCCCGAACTTGGGGTATAGCAGATCCTCTGCTTCCTTGTTTATTTGGAGGATCACACACTGGCCCCCCTCGTTGGGTAGTGGGCTACCAATGTGTAGAATCCTCCAATCGGCCGTTGGCACGTCCGCGTTTTGCCGCTGAAGGAGCTTCAGCGCTCGGTCCCCCTGTATCGTGATGGGGAAGAGTACCTTCGCCTTAGGCTTGGACGGGATAAGCTCCCGGTCCACAACCTCCAGCTTGGCCCCCTCCCACATCGCCTCCAGTTGGCAGACCGTACGCGTCAGCCACCTTAGGGTTGGGTCATCATTGCACTTCAGGATCTTAACCCCATTTAGCCACCCAGCACCATCGAACGTGGGCATTGGGGCCGCGGGGTCTTTCTCCATCTGTGCAAAGAGTGCGTCGACAAGACGCGCGTGCACCAGCTTCCACTGTGCCGCTGACATCTTGCCGTTTTCTTCGCTCCGGTCAATGAGTGCCACGATCAGGTGTCGTTTGGTCACCTCGCTGACCTTCGCTTTCGGCTTCTTGGCCGCTTTCGGTGGAGGGGCTGCACTCCTGGGCCCGCGTTGCCGCTTGCTCGCTGGAGTGTCCTTAATGGCACTCTCAGTCGAGCGTTGCCTCTTGGTGGCCATCATCTCCTCCACCTTATTGGCATATTCGCCATTCGACGCCCTCATCTGTGGCATCTGGGCATAGTGTAGCCGACCCTCCTCTACTCTCTGCTCGGCCCAGGCTAGCTTGACCTTCTCCTCCTGGGAGATGTCTGCTTTGCCTTGCAGCCGGCTTTTTATGTTGAGGGCCGCTTTGTATTGCGCTTTGGCCTTCATCCCCTCCTTGGAACGCTTCGGCCCTTCCCTACGCAGGGAGCTGGTGCCTGGTTCCGGCGAGCGGAGAAGGCTCTCTTCGTCCGTCCTGCTTAGAGAGAGCACGCTCTCCAGATCCGTGTCTGTATCGACTACGGCATCTGTGCGGCTCAACTTGCAGGGCACGGAGTGAGTTGTTTTTGTTGTTGTTGTTGTGGCAGTAGCTTTACAACTGACCTGGCCTGCTCCCGCCAAGTCTGAGGTGTGACCGCTGGCGACACGCAGAGAGGACTGCTCCTCCCCGTGCCCGCCGGTGGTAGCAGTCACGCTTTCCACCGACGTTTGGGTTGACATCCCAACCCGTGCTTTCTCCTTCTTCGACTCCATAGTTGGCCCGAGGGTCCATACTGGTTAATATTTTTCGGGGGGACCACCCCCTAGCGTTTTAGGCCTGACCGCCAGGCACCTCTAGCCATGGCCCTGGTTCGGTTCCCCCGACTTTGAATCGGGAAGACGCCGGACCATAGCCTTAGCTAGACACTGCATTACCCCGGACAGAGCAAGCGACAGTGCATTACCCTTGTCCGGGGTAATGCAGTGTCCATTGCACAGCCGGCACCCTCGTGGAGGGTTCAGCTAGAGGATTTTCGCCAGCCATATTTCTACTTAATTTTTAAATAATTATTTAAAGTTGAATTTATGTTTTGATCAAAATAATATTTCACGTTTTATGGCTATCGATATGTAACTTTATCGCCTGTATGTTAATCGAAATATATCGTAGTCTCCATAAATATTCTCTCAGTGCATTATGCGGTTCTAGGTCTAAGCTTTTATGATGTTTTTGGGGTCTGTGTCCACTTCGACGACGGGGCACATTCAATTTTCTATTGCCACACTTTACTCTCTCAACCTCTCTCTTTCCTGCTCTCTCTCTCTCTCTCTTCCCTGCTCTCGGCTTTAAGACGGAAATTGAAAACCTTAAGACAGTTTCAATGTCTGGCATCTCTGGGAAATGTTGCGTTGAAATGTGCCACGATATTGGCCGGTGCACGTTGGGGCTAACCATTTTGTTGTTTGTCCCCATTTAGTTGTTTGTTTGTTGATTTCCCGCCCGTTATGCTGCCGTCCGCTCCTGTTCGCTGCTGCTTCTGCTGCCATTATTATTAGGCTCAAATTGCTGCACTTTGCTTTGCATTTTAATTACTCGGCGAAAAGGCAAAGGCAGGCGGCATCTTTGCATCTCGGAAATGTTGCATAATTTAAACGAAAAGCGAAATGCGAAAAGGAAAAGCGAAAACGAGGCAACAACAGCCAAAGGGTCAAAGGGGGGTTGCGGGGGGAGCATTGCTAACAAGTTGCTGCCTCTATGCCTGTCAGGGCCCGTCTTCTGTCTGTCAGTCGCACAGCCCCACCTACCCTTTAGCACCTGCTACTGTCCCTGCCCCTATGGCTCCTTCTCTTCTGCGGGGTTTGTGGCATTTCTCAAGGGATTTGCAGTCTGGAAAAGTTGGCTTTTCTTTGCATCTAAAGTCATACAAATTATTGTCAAAATATAAATTATTTTTATCATAAATTACTGTCCAAATCAAAGGCTATCATTCGGGGGCGCATAGCTGATGGAAATGGGGTCTTCGGTGAGGGCACAGGTAGTGAAACGCGACTACGACTACGACTTCACGGATCACAAGTTTTGTGGAGCTGCACAATGGCCTACAAGTGGCCCATAGGCCAAACCATCTTCAAGATATTCCAGAAAATTTTAACGGTATATATTAGCCTTCCTTCCAGTCACTCCAACACACAGCCATTGACCATTTTCCAGCCTCAGCCGCGAATCAGACTGGGGAGCGAGGCCTATTGGGGCGCCTCCGAATGTGGCACACGGAGATGCTTCGTTTAAAATTTTGAATAAAGATCGAAATTGTTTTTGAAATATGTATATCTAGTTTTTGGGACTTATTTCTATTCGTTGACTGAGTGATTAAAAATAATGAAAAGCTATAATAAGTGCTAAGCCACACTGTGAGAGAGAGCTGGTTTTCTTCTATCGTTTCAAAGGGTATCCATACTTTTCCCTTACTTTTTCTTACTCCCACATTCTCTTCCCCGCCTGCAATTATTCACTGATTTTCCCCATCGTTTTCCCCTTAGTTTTCTTCGACTGCCCTTTCTTCTTTCCCCCGGATTACTTTTCTTGTATTTCATCCATTTTATTGGTTTAATTATACCCGATACTCAAAATGAGTATTGGGGTATATTAGATTTGTGGTAAAAGTGGATGTGTGTAACGTCCAGAAGGAATCGTTTCCGACCCCATAAAGTATATATATTCTTGATCAGCATCAATAGCCGAGTCGATTGAGCCATGTCTGTCTGTCCGTCTGTCCGTCTGTCCGTCCGTCCGTCTGTCCGGATCCAACGATGTTTTGGATCCAGACTTCTGTGATATGTCACTGCTCCAAAAATATTTCAAAACTATGCCCGCCCACTTCCGCCCCCACAAAGGGCGAAAATCTGTGGCATCCACAATTTCGACGATACGAGAAAAATAAAAACGCAGAATCGTAGAAGATGACTATATCTTCTAGAGTGCAACATCTGAACCAGATCGTATAATTATTACAGCCAGAATCACGAAAACAATTTCACTCTTTCTCGCTCTGCCTCACTCTAACACACAGGTTTCATGGTCGGTTTTGCCAATTGCAAAATATGAGTTCAAGGATCTCAGAACCCATACGAGCTAGAGCAACCAAATTTGGTATCCACACTCCTGTGATATCGGACCTTGACCGTTTCGTGTCCAAATTTCGCCACACCCCCTTCCGCCCCCGCAAAGGACGAAAACCTGGGGCAACCACAAATCTCAGAGACTAGTAAGGCTAGAGTAACCAAATTTGGTATCCGCACTTCTGTTAGATCTCACTATAAAACGTATATCTCAAAATTTCGCCCCACCCGCTTCCGCCTCCACAAAGGACGAGAATCTGTTGCATCCACAATATTGCAGATTCGAGAAAACTAAAACTAAACGCAGAATCATAGAGAATGACCATATCTATCCAGTTGCTGAATTTGGATCAGATCGGATAATTTTTATAGCCGAAAAGAAAAAAACAATTTTCAGTGGCTACGCAGCGCCCGACGTCACGCTCAGACTGATTTTCTGTCTCTCTCGCACGCACTCTTTGTCGTGTCGATTAATATAAGCGGCGTCTGCCGGAGGAGAGCCATACTGATTTAGTATCGGGTATAACTGTAGAGTTGCGGTGTCCGCAGCAACTCACAACGTTCCCCCTCGTTTTGGTTTAATTTTTATAGGAACTTCATTTTAAAACCGGAAGTCTGATCACGAGTTCGCCAACGAACTCCACTTCAAGCTAAAGTCGATGGTGCACTTCGAGCGGGATATTGGCGACAGTGCCAACGTGTCCGCCAAACAACAAAAGCGTGATCGTTACGAAGAAGCTGGAGACGAGCAGCACATTGGGACAACTGTCATGGTCAAGGGCGGTCGTAAGCAAGGGCGTGGTCGCAACGATGGTGGTGGAGACGGAAAGTGCAACTCGGTGGGACAATTCGAGCAGGACATTGGTAAAGTAGGCGCTGGAGACGGCAAGCAAAACTCCATGGAGCAAATCAAGCAGCCAATTAAGAAGACAGCCATGGTCAAGGCCGGCCACAAGCAACGTCGTGCTCGTAACGATGGAGGTGGTGATGGACAATTCAACTCCGTGGAGCAATTAGAGCAGCACATTGGAGGAGATCGGGGGTCGCGTCGCGGGGCCTAGAGTAGTCGTCGAATGGGAACTGCGGCACTAATTAGTGGATTCAAATGCGCAAAGAACTCGGTACCGAGCTCTGTGGCCTGGGGAGATCGCAAGCCAACGCTGCGCTGCGACGTGTACCGCCCTCTGCCCGTGGTATATGGATTCATACGGCTTTGCGGCGTTTGCTGTCCCGCAGGTAATTTAAATATGCGGTAACAGAGCTCATCTTAGAAATTTTCATAAAACCAAAGAATAAAGAACAAAAATTCGGAAAAATTACAATAAAAATACTAGTACTAATTATTTGAAATTAAAACGAGGGGGAACGTTGTGAGTTGCTGCGGACACCGCAACTCTACAGTTATACCCGATACTAAGTCAGTATGGCTTTCCTCCGGCAGACGCCGCTAATATTAAACGACACGACAAAGAGTGCGTGCGAGAGAGACAGAAAATCTGTCTGAGCGTGATGTCACGCGCTGCGTAGCCACTGCAAATTGATTTGTTCCTTTTGGCTACAAAAATTATCTGATCTGATCCAGATTCAGTAATCTGATAGATATGGTCGTTATCTATGATTCCCCGTTTTTAGTTTTCTCGAATCTGCAATATTGTGGATGCAACAGATTTTCGTCCTTTGTGTGGGCGGAAGGGGGTGGGGCGAAATTTTGAGATACACGTTTTATAGTGAGATCTAAGAGAAGTGCGGATTCCAAATTTGGTTACTCTAGCGTTAATAGTCTTTGAGATTTGTGAATATCCCCAGATTTGCATCCTTTGCGGGGGCGGAAGGGGGTGTGGCGAAATTTTGAAACAAACTCGTCTCGGTCTGATATATTAGGAGTGTGGATACCAAATTTGGTTGCTCTAGCTTTTATAGTCTCTGAGATCTAGGCGCTAATGTTTTACTCTAAGCAAAGCCGCCTATGCTACCTGTGTGTTAGAGAGAGACAGGGCGAGAAAAAATGAAATTGTTTTCTTGATGCTGGCTATAATAGTAATACGATCCAATTCAGATTCTGCAGTCTGAAAGATATGGTCATTATCTACGATTCTTCGTTTTTGGTTTTCTCGTATCTTTATAAATGTGGATGCCACAGATTTTCGCCCTTTGTGGGGGCGGAAGTGGGCGGGGCAAAGTTTTGAAATATTTTTGTAGCAGTGACATATCACAGAAGTCTGGATCCAAAACATCGTTGCTCTAGCTCTTATAGTCTTTGAGCATTAGGCGCTGAAGGGGACGGACAGACGGACAGACGGACGGACGGACAGACGGACAGACGGACAGACAGACATGGCTCAATCGACTCGGCTATTGATGCTGATCAAGAATATACATACTTTATGGGGTCGGAAACGATTCCTTCTGGACGTTACACACATCCACTTTTAGCACAAATCTAATATACCCCAATACTCATTTTGAGTATCGGGTATAAAAAGGAAATTTGTAGCTACAGATGTTGCTCGTACGGAGAACAACCTTCAACTAAAATGAGTCCTGGTCGTGGCTTTGCTTTCAATCCGACATATTTCATTCAACTTAAACCTGAGAGACTCCTTCGATTGAGTTTCTTGTGTGTTTGTAATTCAATTTTTTGTATGAAAATTTACATTGGGGCCACGTGCGCCATGTCGCGCTTCCATTAGTTCCGAAGTCTTTCGCGTTGTTGTGCCAATGACGACGCCAGCGGAAGCGACGATGCCCAGAGATGTGTGGCCGTTGGATACCGCTTTCAACGTATACGACGATTGTCGTATAACCATAAACGATTGGGGAAACTTAAGCTGTTCAACCATTTCTGAAAAAAATAGACATAAAAGTTAAAGTGAAACGAAAGTCGGCATCCAGGTCGTGAACGTTGGGATCAAAGGGACGCATCGGTACGCCATATAAATTTTACTTATTTTACTTATTTTTCAGTTGAAACTTTTACAGCAAAAATTCTTGTGCAGATTCTTTGACGGAAAAGGAAACGCCAAAACAAAGATGTCCAATGAAGCTATGATTTTGCTAATCTTATCGATGTTCGATGGAATCGTTTCCACATCGTATCGTGTCGATGTTTTTGCCACTAATTTTAATATTAAGTATACATACATTCTCCGGCTTTCGCGTATTGTTGTACTACGACTTCGAAATAATTCGACCGAGTTTAAATTTTTGTGTCGACAGTGTTTCATACCGTATCGATAGCTATCATCAATTGCTGTGCTATATCCAGAACAACATTGAAATCCTGTCGCAGCCACACACTAAAATCTTCTATGGCTATTGGACACGCTGCATTGGACACGGTTGCGTCTGCGCAATCCTTTTGATAATCTCATCGCTCACTCGTTATGTAAGCAGGCCACTCAGCTGTTTATGTGTATATCGAAGTCGATTGCAACTGTGGAAACTATTGAAACCCTGTTTCCTCTTTTCTAGAACGACTCGTGTGCTGGTTGGACGGACAACTGACGTATACAGTTGTCACGTTATATTGAAATCGCCCTATAAATTCCTATATCAGAATTAGTAATCGCCACAAAATGAAGAAATCGAACAAAAAAAAAAAAATGCAAGGAACCCTGGCAAAAGACCGATGGGACATGCAATAAATGTCTCGCTGCTTATAAATAACCACGCAGAAGCTGACACAGTTTTAGACTCTGGGATATCGGAGGTGCAGAAAGATGAAGGCGTGGGTAAGAGTAAATTCGACGAAGATTTCGTCGATTTTTATGAGTGCGCTGTACTCCGACCGATCCAGCAAAGGTTCTGTAGTACCGTACCAGATAAGGGGCCCGAGGACTATGAGCAGATGTTCGAGACGATCGGGAAGGTCACTAAGGAAATGGTTGACTTTCGTAAGTATGAAGTATACTTGATGCTGTATCCCACTCTGGCCAATGCTTACCTGCAAATGGTGTGGAGCGGAAAGTTGCAGAGGCATATATACTTCGTAGGTAGGAACAAACACGAGCTGTATGAATCGTACAAGAGGCGCATCGAAAAGCTCATGCTTTTTATACCCGATACTCAAAATGAGTATTGGGGTATATTAGATTTGTGGTAAAAGTGTATGTGTGTAACGTCCAGAAGGAATCGTTTCCGACCCCATAAAGTATGTATATTCTTGATCAGCATCAATAGCCGAGTCGATTGAGCCATGTCTGTCCGTCTGTCCGTCCCCTTCAGCGCCTAGTGCTCAAAGACTATAAGAGCTAGAGCAACGATGTTTTGGATCCAGACTTCTGTGATATGTCACTGCTACAAAAATATTTCAAAACTTTGCCCCGCCCACTTCCGCCCCCACAAAGGGCGAAAATCTGTGGCATCCACATTTTTAAAGATACGATTAAACCAAAAACTCAGAATCGTAGATAATGACCATATCTTTCAGACTGCAGAATGTGAATTGGATCGTATTATTATTATAGCCAGCATAAAGAAAACAATTTCATTTTTTCTCGCCCTGTCTCTCTCTAACATACACGTAGCATAGGCGGCTTTGCTTAGAGTAAAACATTAGCGCCTAGATCTCAGAGACTATAAAAGCTAGAGCAACCAAATTTGGTATCCACACTCCTAATATATCGGACCGAGACGAGTTTGTTTCAAAATTTCGACACACCCCCTTCCGCCCCCGCAAAGGACAAAAATCTGGGGATATTCACAAATCTCAGAGAGTGTTAACGCTAGAGTAACCAAATTTGGTATCCGCACTCTTGTTAGATCTCACTATAAAACGTATATCTCAAAATTTCGCCCCACCCCCTTCCGCCCCCACAAAGGACGAAAATCTGTTGCATCCACAATATTGCAGATTCGAGAAAACTAAAAACGCAGAAACATAGATAATGACCATATCTATCAGATTGCTGAATCTGGGGCTCCTTCTCTTCTGCGGGGTATGTGGCATTTCTCAAGGGATTTTCAGTCTGGAAAAGTTGGCATCTTTGCATCTAAAGTCATACAAATTATTGTCAAAATATAAATTATTTTTATTATAAATTACTGTCCAAATCAAAGGCTATCATTCGGGGGCGCATAGCTGATGGAAATGGGGTCTTCGGTGAGGGCACAGGCTAGTGAAACGCGACTACGACTACGACTTCACGGATCACAAGTTTTGTGGAGCTGCACAATGGCCTACAAGTGGCCCATAGGCCAAACCATCTTCAAGATATTCCAGAAAATTTTAACGGTATATATTAGCCTTCCTTCCAGTCACTCCAACACACAGCCATTGACCATTTTCCAGCCTCAGCCGCGAATCAGACTGGGGAGCGAGGCCTATTGGGGCGCCTCCGAATGTGGCACACGGAGATTCTTCGTTTAAAATTTTGAATAAAGATCGAAATTGTTTTTGAAATATGTATATCTAGTTTTTGGGACTTATTTCTATTCGTTGACTGAGTGATTAAAAATAATGAAAACCTATAATAAGTGCTAAGCCACACTGTGAGAGAGAGCTGGTTTTCTTCTATCGTTTCAAAGGGTATCCATACTTTTCCCTTACTTTTTCTCACTCCCACATTCTCTTCCCCGCCTGCAATTATTCCCTGATTTTCCCCATCGTTTTCCCCTTAGTTTTCTTTGACTGCCCTTTCTTCTTTCCCCCGGATTACTTTTCTTGTATTTCATCCATTTTATTGGTTTAATTATACCCGATACTCAAAATGAGTATTGGGGTATATTAGATTTGTGGTAAAAGTGGATGTGTGTAACGTCCAGAAGGAATTGTTTCCGACCCTATAAAGTATATATATTCTTGATCAGCATCAATAGCCGAGTCGATTGAGCCCTGTCTGTCTGTCCGTCTGTCCGTCCGTCCGTCTGTCCGTCTGTCCGTCCCCTTCAGCGCCTAATGCTCAAAGACTATAAGAGCTAGAGCAACGATGTTTTGGATCCAGACTTCTGTGATATGTCACTGCTCCAAAAATATTTCAAAACTTTGCCCCGCCCACTTCCGCCCCCACAAAGGACGAAAATCTGTGGCATCCACATTTTTAAAGATACGAGAAAACCAAAAACGCAGAATCGTAGAGAATGACCATATCTTTTAGACTCCAGAATCTGAATTGGATCGTATTATTATTATAGCCAGCATAAAGAAAACAATTTAATTTTTTATCGCCCTGTCTCTCTCTAACACACACGTAGCATAGGCGGCTTTGCTTAGAGTAAAACATTAGCGCCTAGATCTCAGAGACTATAAAAGCTAGAGCAACCAAATTTGGTATCCACACTCCTAATATATCGGACCGAGACGAGTTTGTTTCAAAATTTCGTGACACCCCCTTCCGCCCCCGCAAAGAATGCAAATCTGGGGATATTCACAAATCTCAGAGACTATTAAAGCTAGAGTAACCAAATTTGGTATCCGCACTTCTGTTAGATCTCACTATAAAACGTATATCTCAAAATTTCGCCCCACCCGCTTCCGCCTCCACAAAGGACGAGAATCTGTTGCATCCACAATATTGCAGATTCGAGAAAACTAAAACTAAACGCAGAATCATAGAGAATGACCATATCTATCCAGTTGCTGAATTTGGATCAGATCGGATAATTTTTATAGCCGAAAAGAAAAAAACAATTTTCAGTGGCTACGCAGCGCCCGACGTCACGCTCAGACTGATTTTCTGTCTCTCTCGCACGCACTCTTTGTCGTGTCGTTTAATATTAGCGCCGTCTGCCGGAGGAGAGCCATACTGATTTAGTATCGGGTATAACTGTAGAGTTGCGGTGTCCGCAGCAACTCACAACGTTCCCCCTCGTTTTGGTTTAATTTTTATAGGAACTTCATTTTAAAACCGGAAGTCTGATCACGAGTTCGCCAACGAACTCCACTTCAAGCTAAAGTCGATGGTGCACTTCGAGCGGGATATTGGCGACAGTGCCAACGTGTCCGCCAAACAACAAAAGCGTGATCGTTACGAAGAAGCTGGAGACGAGCAGCACATTGGGACAACTATCATGGTCAAGGGCGGTCGTAAGCAAGGGCGTGGTCGCAACGATGGTGGTGGAGACGGAAAGTGCAACTCGGTGGGACAATTCGAGCAGGACATTGGTAAAGTAGGCGCTGGAGACGGCAAGCAAAACTCCATGGAGGAAATCAAGCAGCCAATTAAGAAGACAGCCATGGTCAAGGCCGGCCACAAGCAACGTCGTGCTCGTAACGATGGAGGTGGTGATGGACAATTCAACTCCGTGGAGCAATTAGAGCAGCACATTGGTCCCACTGTCATGATCAAGGACGGTCAAAAACAAGAGCAAGATCGTAACGATCTGGTGGAGACGGCAAGCGTTCCAAGCAGGCAAAATAGCGACGCCGTGCTAAGATGCCAGACAGTATCGATTAACATGTTTGTTTGCCATGTAATGTTTGTCCGTTTTTTGTTTCATATTTTATAAAGCAAACACAAATTAATGGGAGTACCAAGATTACCCTGCAGCTAAGGCATCTACAAATTCTCACCTCGATTGCCGCAGAGCGCCGTTGCTGTATCCTTTACCCCTTCCCCATGGAAATAATGACGCCCTTCATGGACGAGGGCGGTGGTGGTGGCGGTCGAGCCCGCGGGGATACTGGTGATCCCGGCGGCAAGACGCGGGAGAGTATCCTGACCAATTTTTTCTTCGGAAGCAAATCCGAAGCCGATTCTAATGTCAATTCAACAGCGGTGCCAAAGGCAGATGTCGCACCCAAAGAGGCGGAATTATGAACGAATCCGAAACATTCGAACGACACAGAACCGTTGGCCAACCTGGCGTTTATGGACGTCCTAAGCTATCAGCAATTCCTGCAAAATCGTCGATTATCAGGCCCTGGGCCTGGGCTGGCAGATTTATTGTAGAAAAAATAACAAATGTACTAGACACACTCATAAGAATACTAGATTGAGACTAGAAAAATCACATAAAATATAGCCTACTATGTCGTATAATATTTTTGTTTTAATCCTACTATGTACTCGAAAACATATCTCATGGAGAAAAGCAGTCACTGCCTGAAGTGTCAGACGAGATACTCGCTTGGATTTCACAATCACACACAATCACAGACGAGCACTACATACTACACACTACACATCTAGTTTTACTTCTCCCCCAATCGAAGGGGGCACTTCGTGGCAACCGGCACGTGATCGAGGACCTCACCCTAGACGATGGCAATGCTGTTCCCATCTACGATATGATCCAGTGGCGCGATCGTGGGCTGAACGAGAAACTGGATGCTCAAAACGTTTTGAATGTAAGTATCTTTAGACTGGCAAAGAAGTAACCTCTAAAGTATCTGCCCCTTGGGGACCTACAGGCCAGCTTGGAGTGGAGGAGAATGCGTTGGTGTTCCGGTTATCCGCAGGCCAGCTTCTGGCGCGGACGTGTTCAACAGCTCGGCGAGCGAGTGTGTGCCATCCGACTGATTTGTTGCCGCAAATGACCAGACTATTGTGTAGTTTTATATATTTTATAAAGAAATACAAGACAAGAAAAGTTTATCGGGTAGACGAATAGACGTAGACGAATATCACCCAATTTGCGGTTGCCCTTCTATGCCTTAAAGCATTCGTGAATCCTTACATCATCCGATCATCCCCTTTAAAGGTTTCCTTCTTGGCCCCTAAATCAGTTATAATGTTCTTCGTCTCAAGGGAGATTGGGAGTGGGAGGGAGAGTGGGAGTGGGAGGGGCATGTGGTGTGATGGACCTATTTTAGGCTCAGGTAAGCTCAGTCACGTCCAGGGTTCAATCCACAAGCAATTTGTAGAAATGTATGGAACATTAAGGGCGGCGTCGGGGGTCGGCCTATCGTAGAGAGGTGGATCGGGGCTGGAGTGAACGTCGCTCGTCGTGCATACGAAACGGCGTGCGTGGACTCGGGGTGGGGTAGTGTCGGTGCCTCGGCTAGTTGGAGTGAACTTACGCAATCGGGTGTTTATTTGGATAATTTGACACTTTATTATAATTCTTAGCGCTTTAAATGAACTTAGTTTAATTGATCGCCGGTGTTTCTTGTAAGATTCGGGTACAATGTCTGTACTCCGAACCAGGTTTTCTGCGTTAGTTGTTCTTTGGTTCTCGTCGCCGTCTTTTTATAGGTCCATATTGCTGGGTCTGCGGATTTGAAAATGCACTTCCGCGTCGGGGTGCACTTTGCCGTTCTTGGTGATCGTCGCAGATTTTCGCGGCCACATCTTTCCTGATGAACCGGGAAGACCGCACTTGGCCGATGGCTGGGCCTGGAGTGGGGAAAGTCCGCGTGACCTGATGTCTTTGGAGAGGGGCGTTGGTTGTGGGGTGTGGTGTGATGCGCTCATTATAAGTCGAGGGACGGATTTTATCGAAACCTTTTAGGTTCGTTACACCCTCCCCTTTCTTCCCCGACGAGAGTTACGAAGACTCGTGCGTCGGGTGTGCGGCGGTGGATCCGGTACGTTTGCTCGAACCACCAACTGTCGAATAGGGTCCGACCCTGCGGCTCTAGTCGCCACCGTACTTCCTGGATTAGAGGCGTCGGCAGGATTCGGTTGGCGGTGTTCGTTGTCCACTCTGGCGGAGCCACCGTCCAACGGGCGGCGTACTCGGCAGCAGATAGCTCTTAAACCTCAGGCGTCGGGGTGCGTCGCGGGGCCTAGAGTAGTCGTCGAATGGGCGAATGGTGAAAACGAAGGGGCCGAGATCCGAGGGACGCGTGGTAGGGTGGCAGCTCCGACGGCCCTTCTTGCAATGTGATGCTGCCCGGCGGGCAATGGCGGTAGTATAGCGGCGGGGGGTCGTACTTCCGGGTCTCGGGGGTCTCCTCCTCCTCCGAGTCCGTGGTGTACTCTTCTCCGTCGTCCGTGCTGTTGCCGGACGACGTTTCGCTCTCCGTGTCCGTGTAGACGTCGGACCTCTCCGAGTCGGTGTCCCCCGTGGGGTCGACGATTTCGTTCGTCCCGATGTGGTCTTCAGGTGCGGCGTTCATTGCGGTGGCTAGTTTCTTCTGGTGGCCTTAGAAGGGTTTAAGCTGATGTTGCGGAGATGGCTTTTGTCGCATCGGCAGTGTTGTTTTTATACCCGATACTCAAAATGAGTAATGAGGTATATTAGATTTGTGGTAAAAGTGGATGTGTGTAACGTCCAGAAGGAATCGTTTCCGACCCCATAAAGTATATATATTCTTGATCAGCATCAATAGCCGAGTCGATTGAGCCATGTCTGTCTGTCCGTCTGTCCGTCCGTCCGTCTGTCCGTCTGTCCGTCCGTCCCCTTCAGCGCCTAGTGCTCAAAGACTATAAGAGCTAGAGCTAGAGTGCAAAATCTGAACCAGATCGTATAGTTATTATAGCCAGAATCAAGAAAACAATTTCACTCTTTCTCGCTCTGTCTCTCTGTCTCTGTCACAGATTTCATGGTCGGTTTTGCCAATTGCAAAATATGAGTTCAAGGATCTCAGAACCCATAAGAGCTAGAGCAACCAAATTTGGTATCCACACTCCTGTGATATCGCCCCTTGACCGTTTTGTATCAAAATTTCGACACACCCCCTTCCGCCCCCGCAAAGGACGAAAATCTGGGGCAACCACAAATCTCAGAGACTATTAAGGCTAGAGTAACCAAATTTGGTATATAAAACGTATATCTCAGGATTTCGCCCCACCCGCATCCGGCCCCACAAAGGACGAAAATCTGTTGCATCCACAATATTGCAGATTCGAGAAAACTAAAAACGCAGAATCATAGAGAATGACCATATCTATCCAGTTGCTGAAGTTGGATCAGATCGGATAATTTTTTTGGCGCCGGGTCGTCCCATAGACTTTGTTGATCGTTGTTTGCGGTCTGGGGACGGTGTTCGCGGGCTGCTTCGTCGGGGGGGGGGAGGTTAATAGAGTCTGGCCCCTGGTTTGGCCGACGTCGTCATGATTTGGGGTGTGCGGGACGGCTCGATCGGCGGTTGTTGGCCGTTCTGTTCTGTTCCGGCGCCTTTACGTTGCGGCGGCGGTATAACATTCCGATGATGACGCACGACGGTGACGAGTGTGAGTACGTACGATGACGTACTATTCACTGTCAGTAAATCGCGCTGGTTGTCGATGTAGTTGAGATGCTTCAGGCTTAGTTCTCGTAAGAACGGTAAGCTGAGCTTCTCGTGGTGTTCCGTCACGTTGACTCGGGCCATAGCTGCTACTACTGCTTTCCTTTTGGAATCGGCCAGGTGGTTGATGTAGGTGCCGTTCAGTGCGACTCGGCTGGAGTACGAAATGAGGTACGTCCCCGAGATGTCGTGGGTGGCCCCTGCGTCGTCAATGACGGTCACGTTGGCGTCGTTTACGATGATCGTGCCGTGGTCGTCTGTTGTTATTGGGTCCAGATGTCCTGGTAGCGTGGCGCAGTGTGCAGTGGATCCCGCTACTAGTTGTTGCGCGCAGGTAGTTTTCGTCGCTCCTTGCAAAACGTTGCGGCGACGCTGGGTTCGCAGCTGCCGATGTTGAGTACTCGGGTCCCGCACTCGGCCACCGCTTCCTCGTCGCTGAAATCCAAGATTTTGTTCTCGTGTTGGACCGGGAATATGAGCAATTTCTTGCAGATGAGCTCGGGCTGGGGGAACCTTATCAGAAACCGTAGTAGGTCGGCGTTCTGGAAGACGGTGACGTTGGAGACTTCCAGGAGTTCCACCAGGCTTATGTTAGCGAAGTGCTGCTCGTTTAGCTCTCGGATGTCGGTGCCGGCTAGAAGAGTTGGGCTCACCATCTTGATCTTGGCTAGTGTCAGCCCCAGGATGAGATTCTCTAAGTCAGTGATCACGCCAGCAGGCTGTCCTCTGCGTCGTCCGATTTCGCAATTTGGTTCATCAGTCCGGTCATCTCGTTTAAATCGGCCTGAATCTTCGTGTTGATCTCGATCTGCCTGTTGCTGGCGTCTACCAGTTGGGTCTGCTTGAATTTAATCTGCTCCCAGTCGTCGAAGTCGTCGTTTCCCGATGGTGCATCCGCAGGGTGGCGGTCCCTGATGCGCTCTAGGTCGGCGCGTATCACCTGGGCCATCCTGTTCACCCTGAACTCTTCGATAGTTCGTTGGGTTCGGTTTCTGGCTACGATGCTGCCCATTTTCGTACGTGTGATCTGGGTACTTCTGGGGTTCGTCTTGGACTTATTGGATCCTTTGTTTAAGCCAGGTGCATGCTGTGTCGTCTTCCTCGATGCGGCAACCTCCAATGGTTGTCTTGACAGTGCGTCCGCGACTACGTTCTGGTTGCCGGCCCGATAATGCACGTCGTATTGGTATTGCTGTAGTTCGAGCGCCCATCTTGCTACTCTACCGTAAGGGCTCTCGAGGGTATTCAGCCACCTTAGTGCGAGATGATCGGTTATGACGTCGAATCGGTAGCCTTCGAGATAGCATCGCAGTTTTCGGATCGCCCAGATGACGGCGAGGATTCCTTGTCGGTGGCCGAGTAGTTTTCTTCTGCCTTGTTGAGGTACGCCTTGCCGATTGACGTATGCGATGACCCGCTCTTTCCCTTCGATCTCTTGGGTGATGACCGCGCCTACTCCAAGGTTTCTTGCGTCCGTCTGCAGAGAAAATTTTACGTTCAAGTCTGGGCAGGCGAGTACCGGTGCGGTGGTGAGCAGTGTTTTCAGCTCGTCGAAGGCGTCTTGTTGTTCTTGGCCCCATGTCCATGCTTTCCCTCCCTTCAGCAACAGTGACATTGGTTGGACTACGGTGGCAAAGTTTGTGA